TTTCCGGTGACGAGTTAAATTTTGTGCAGTAAACCGACGAAAACCACGTGTAGCCATTGAATCGTAAACACGTGGTAGACACAGGTACTTGTGGACAGGCCCCCCCCCCCCCCCCCCCCCACTATACACCCCTGGTCAAAATATTTTTTTTTGTCTTGAATTATGTTTCTAGTACTTATTTACAACGTATTCCATATGAAAAATCAAAAAAATAACATAGATTTAACGATTTACTAAAAAAAAAGTCATACCTTGGTATTATAAACAAGAGGCCCATGGGCCACATCGCTCACCTGAGAAGCTTTGACCATTCTGTTCTTTACCAGATTTCCCCCTTGTTATACGTAATGCATCCCCACCCTACCCCACTGATCATAATTTAGACATTTTGAAATCTACACTACCCCATACGCTCTTTAATGATCCTTCCATGGGCACATATGTTTCAGCTTTTTTGGCCCAGTGGTTCCTGAGAAGAAGATTTTCAAAGATTTTTCCTATATATTTCTATGTAAAACTTTGATTCCCTATAATGGCCCCGCCCTTCCCCCGGGGGTCATGATTCCTACAATTTAGAATTTACACTACCCCAGAATGCTTCCACATAAGCTTCACTTTTTCCGGCCCAGTGGTTCTTGAGAAGAAGATTTTCAAAGATTTTTCCTATATATTTCTATATAAAACTTTGATTCCCCATTGTGGCCCCGCCCTTTCCCCGGGGATCATGATTTGAACAATTTAGAATCTACATTATACCAGGATGCTTCCACATAAGTTTCAGCTTTTCTGGCCCAGTGGTTCTTGAGAAGAAGATTTTCAAAGATTTTTCCTATATATTTCTATATAAAACTTTGATTTCCTATTGTGGCCCCGCCCTTAACCCGGGGGTCATGATGTGAACAATTTAGAATCTACACTACCCCAGGATGCTTCCACATAAGTTTCAGCTTTACTGGCCCAGTGGTTCTTAAGAAGAAGATTTTCAAAGATTTTTCCTATATATTTCTATATAAAACTTTGGTCGGCCATTGTGGCCCCGCCCTTCCCCCAGGGGTCATGATTTGAACAATTTAGAATCTACACTACCCCAGGATGCTTCCACATAAGTTTCAGCTTTACTGTCCAAGTGGTTCTTGAGAAGAAGATTTTTTAATGACCCAACCCTATTTTTCTCTTTTCTTGATTATCTCCCCTTGCGAGGGGATATGTCCCTTCATTTTAACAATTTAAATTCCCCTTCACCTAAGGATGCTTTGTACCAAGTTTGGTCAAAATTGGCCCAGTGGTTCTTCAGAAGAAGTCGAAAATGTGAAAAGTTTACAGACGGACAGACAGACGGACGGACGGACAAAATGTGATCAGAAAAGCTCACTTGAGCCTTCGGCTCAGGTGAGCTAAAAATAGAGAAGGTAAGTCACTTCGGGTTGTTAATTCGGACCCCTCTTGATTATCGGGCCTAAAATATCATATACCTACTACATGTCACCAAAATGTGTCATGATATCTTGTTTCGGTAGAGATTTTTGTCGTTAATCGTGCCATTTAATTGCCCAGACATTCCCCAGTTATCCGAGTATTCAGCGTCAAACGTGAAAAATTTGGAAATGTCAAAGCAGAAATTACGGAAGTGATCCAAAAACGACACCTAGCGGGTAACTTTCGAGTTCCGAGTGTCATAGAATGAAAGGAAAAGCCAGAGGACTACGAAAAAGTTCGGGAAAATTTTGAAAAAAGTCGAAATCGATTTATTAGAGTTTAAATTTTGCTGCAGATTTTCGAGATGAATTAGGATCGTCTTCAATATTCTTCTTAGAGGATTTGTTACTGATACAATATAGTGTTTTAAAAATCGCATAGAGACATTAAATGACATCTAACCCCCCTTTTCTACGTGGATATGTTTAGGCAAACTCAACTTTTATTTTCTAGTGACTGTGTCTGCGTAAAGGTGGATTTCTGTTAATGCGTTAGTTTAAATAGATAAATACCGGTACAACCAGGAATGTGCTTATTCAAAACAGCACAAAAATCATTATTCCATTTGCAGTGAGTTCTGAACTCGCTATATTATTTAATATATGGGAAGGAGTGTGTGGACGTCATTACAGGTTAGAATTATTTTGATTAAACTACAAATGTAGAGAAAGGCGTTTTGCGAGAAGAAAATGCAAGTTTTATGAATGGTTGTACAAATACATCCCATCCAATATTCAGTAGTCAAAATCTAGTACATGCAGGCACGTAGCATCGTTTTTGAAAGTGGGGGGGGGGGGGGGGGGGCAACCAGAGAAAAATGTTTTTTTTACTTGCCTGTAAAAGTTGACAAGACAAAAAAAAGGGGGAAAATGCCCAAACACGAAAATCCTATTTCGGGGGTGGGGGTGGGTGGGGGGTTAGTGGCCAACCTTTTTCAAGGCCAACTCCCTTTTACTTCAATTTTTTTGCATACAATACCACATTTTCTTCATATCACTATACTGTGGTAAGAAGTGGGGGGGGGGGGGCAACCTACCTTCCAATGGACATATTCAATATTAAAGGTAATGATGGGAAAAAAGTGGGGGGGGGGGCAGCCCCCCCCCCCCCCCCCCCCCCATTGCTACATCCCTGAGTACATGTACTACAAGTGACAATATTAAACGATGGCTGTTAGATAAGACATACCGAATTGGCGAAAGAAGTTTTAAAAAGTCTCTAAATTTATACCTAGACAGGCTCGTAGGAAGCAATTTCAGACTGGGGGATGGGGAACAGCCAAACATTATTAGTTACGACACTATGCTATCAACTAAAAATTCCCCAACAAGCAAAAAAAAATGGCACTGGTTTTTATTGAGAGACACGAGCATATAGTACCTCTACAGCATATTATATGATATACTAATATTATTCCTACGGCCATGTTAGATAAATAAAAAGAAGTTAAGCTTCTTTAACAAAGCAGCTAGATATACACAGTCAAGACCAGAAACAAACTCCGAGGCTGTAGTTAGGACAATAAACGAGAGAATGTGATAATGAAAAGTTCCGATTTTCATTTATTTTTAAGAAATCTTCATAAATGCTTAAATTCTTTGGCAAGTGAGAATCATTGTATAAGATAATTAATTTCATGATATCGGAATTATTGTAGTTTGGGTGGGGATGGGGGTGGGGGTTACAAGTGTTTTTATGTCTATATGCGATTTTTAAAACACTATATTGTATCAGTGATAAATCCTCTAAAAAGAATATTGAAGACGACCCTAATTCATCTCGAAAATCTGCAGCAAAATTTAATCGACTTTTATCAAAATTTTCCCGAACTTTTTCGTAGTCCTCTGGCTTTTCCCTTCATTCTATGACACTTGGAACTCGAAAGTTACCCGCTAGGTGTCGTTTTTGGATCACTTCCGTAATTTCTGCTTTGACATTTCCAAATTTTTCACGTTTGACGCTGAATACTCGGATAACTGGGGAATGTCTGGGCAATTAAATGGCACGATTAACGACAAAAATCTCTACCGAAACAAGATATCATGACACATTTTGGTGACATGTAGTAGGTATATGATATTTTAGGCCCGATAATCAAGAGTGGTCCGAATTAACAACCCGAAGTGACTTGCCTTCTCTATTTTATAATACCAGGGTATGACTTTTTTATTAAATCGTTAAATCTATGTTATTTTTTGGATTTTTCATATGGAATACGTTGTAAATAAGTACTAGAAACATAATTCAAGACAAAAAAAGAAAAAAAATATTTTGACCATGGGTGTATAGTTGGGGGGGGGGGGGTCCTGTCCACAAGTACCTGTGGTGGTAGACTGTTGTGCTTTGAGACTCTTTCACTTGATTGGAGAACGGGCGTGACGAAGACATCGTCACGTGTTGAAAATTGCCTTCCATATAACAGGTCGAGACCACTACCTTATATGGAAGGCAATTTTCAACACGTGACGATATCGTCTTCACACCTGTTCGCCAATCAAGTGAATGAGTCCCAAAGCATGACACTACTACGTGTTTACGATTCAATGGCGACACGTGGTTTTCGTCGATTTCTGCATATTCACTTCGTCACCAGAAAAACCGTAGAGCTTCTTTATTACTTTTTAATTCCGAAATTGAACGATTAAGTTCAAATAATGTGCAAACGCTTTGATGTTTGCATGTACATTAAAAACTTTTTGATAACATTTAGGGGTAAAATAATGATAGCGCACCTTGTACTGCTGTCTAAAACTATGAACATGTATATCACGTGAAAAAAACTCAATGCTTTATCGACACGATAGCACCTACATGTACGTCTCTTCGAACTATGGTTTAGGCCGATGTATTATAAGTTGGTGTAAGGCTTCATAAAGCAAATTTTGCAAATGTGAGCATGGAAATGAAAGATTATACATCATTTTAAATATTTCTCCCATAAATCTCAAAAAAGAATTGAAAATAAGTTTCCAAGAGACAATTCAAGTTGGCCTTTATTTTCAACACAGCTGAGTACTTGTAGTAGCCCACAATGCATTGCGACTCATTCATCAGTGGGTAAAGTAAATAGATAGCTCATTTACATGCAAACTTATGCTGACGTCAGAAAATCTAGTGGTCTCGACCTGTATAAGGTAGTGGTCTCGACCTGTTTAAGGAGTGACAAAAATCGGCGGCGTAAATCAAAGGTTTTTACAACGCTTGAATCTGTACCTCTCTGCTTTATCTATCTGAATTTCCTCAAGCAGAGAGCTACAGTTCTGCAGCTAGACAAATCTGTAATGAATAATACAGCTGAAATTCGGTATCTCACACTATACTACAATTTCAAATACTGCGTTGATATATTGAAGTAAAAGCCCCAAACTCTAAGTAATCTCACCTTATATCGAATCCTCATATTCCTTTCTGTTTTTTCCTTCATCTGTTTGACTTAATATTATGATAAGATACAAATTATACCAGAAACCTTTCATAAATAAAAGAAAAATTATAAATCTTATCTGTAAACGTTTCTTGCTTACTAGTCCAACTCTTCGGCTGGTTATGGGACATTTTTTCCTGCAATCCCTTATATGTTTCCATCATTGTTTCCAGAGTTCCATACTATCAAAAATTAAAAAAAATGCATAAAAGAGCAATGGAATTAAATGCCAACTTCTAAAATTTCTTTCAACGTGCATTTGTTGATTGGGAAAGGGATATTTTATACCTTGTGATTGCCTTGACATTTGGACAGCAGCATAACTATATCTGAAAAAATAGTGTGTTTCTAATAAGTGACATTCCTTCTTTTTTATTTCCTCACTTCTATATATAGCTTTACAATTTTAGTTAGAACTACGGCAATGAACACATACTACTGTTTATACTTTTATATTATGGCCATTAGAAAAGTGTATTATCGCGTTAAAAACAACACGCAAGCGCATTTATTAATGACGATGCGCTAGCGCGTTAATGACAAATAGTTGTGTGTTAGCGCAAAGTCGTGTTATGAACAACGCGCTAGCGCATTGTCATTAACGCGCTAGCGTATTGTAATTAACGCACTAGCGCGTTGACGTTGTATTCTAACAACACGCAAGCTAATTAATGACAACGCGCTAGCGCGTTAATTACATTACCCTATTGTTGTATTCTTGTATAGTTGTATTCTTGAAATGTTGTATTCTTGTATTGATGTATTTATGGCAATACGCTAATGTTGTATTCTAACAACCCGCAAGCGCATTAATGACAACGCGCTAGCGCGTTGTTCACATCACGACTTCTCGCTAACACACAACGCGTTGTCATTATAATGCGCTATCGCATTGACATCAACGCGCTAGCGCCTTAACTTTATTGCCGCTTGCATGTTTTTTCTAACAATCTTGTCATTATCGCGCTTGTTTAAGGTCAATACGATGATTTAGACACCTGGGGACTGGAGTCTAATATTCTCTGAGCTCTAAGGGCGAAGTGAATATTGTACTCCGAAGGTGTTAACATGGTTAAGATGTTAATTTGGTCAAATTCTGAGAGCTAAATTAAAGAAGGGAAGTGACATCTAGGTAAGATGTGTTTATTTTTCACACAAAATGAAATTATCTATTAAAAATTTAGTACGTATTAGACCTATTAAAACCTAAATAACCAAATCATATCGCTCGGTATAGAGTCATCGGAATGATACGATATTGAACGCTTACAGGACAGATATTAATTTGAATACCAATACTAAAAAATCATTAATTTACGTTTTTTGTTGGAATAAATATTATAAATATTATGTGGAAATGTTTTAGCTAAATAATAAAGGAGTTATTGAACTTATATTGGTGTATATTTAGCACAAGCAAGCTCGTGCATTTGAACAGCAAACTTATGCCAATATTCACCGATATAAGTTCAATAACCCTATAATATTGACCTGCAATTATTCTTTATATTGACCTGGAGGGTCACGTGATTCATTATATTGACCTTGTATTGACCTGGAAGGTCACATGCAGGTCAATATAACATCGTTAAATCTCAGCCAATCAGAGAAAAGGAAAATATTCAATCATATAATAAACTATAACATTGAATGAATTCTTCACTGAATGACTAAAGTTTAAACGGTGAAAGATGATTGGATAATATTACTAGTTGTAATACGAAATCAAATATAATTGCTGACCCGATTAAACCCAGAGGCTAATCGAAGGTAAAAATGGAGCTGATCTCTCGTGATGGACGCTCAACGGTCCCAAAAGCAGTTATATTTTTAAAAGTTGCTCTAAAATTATTAGAGTGCAACAGATGACAAGTGCGTAAAAATTAAGGTAATGTACATGAAAATTGCATGGATAAAATGGTGTAGGGTTAACGACGGACATCTAATTCTCGGAAGTTATAAGACTCTTTCAAAGTTTTAAATTTAATGAAGTAAGGACATAAAGGTAAATAAAGTTTTTTTTAGAGTTTGAAGCGAGGCCCCGAGGAATTAATGGCGGCTCGTTATATCCCTTCTCCATGAATTCACCATGCATCGGACACATACCTTGCTTCGGACAACTTTAGGCAATAAACTCTCTTTCAACTTAAGAGTTCCGTGTATTTATTTGTTTCTGTCTTAAAGATGAAGACTTTAATTTTTTAATGATACCGATTGTTATTATCATGTTGTGATAAAAATACTCCGATAATGGCCTTGAAGTTATGTCATATTTTACATCATCAAAGGGGAATAACCAGAAATTTATGATTTTGCAATTTTTAGAGTTATCGTTCTTTAAATTCGACTTCAACGGAATGGGTAGGGGTGGGACTACCGGATACATGAATTTTGTACAAGCAAAAATTGGCAATTTTAAAGTAAATTTTAAAGAAATTTGAAGACACACTTTAGAACTAATGTCATTGATTAGGGGTAAAACGTTTTACTTTTTAGAGCTGGTTTGGACAAGAAAAGTTCAGTATGAAATGCGTTGACTTCATTTCGTTTCCAGAACATTTGATATTACAAATTGTTAACCACTTTTTTTGTAATCTCAACTTGGGACACACTTTCCAATGATTTAATAATGTAAATATGAATGTTTTTAAATGAATTTTTACCGTTTTCTGATGAAATACACAACTATTTGTAAACAAATTCTGAATAGTAATAATAGTACAGCATTGTTTTGTTTTTAGTCAATGAAATTGAAACTTCAAGTATTAATTTCAAAAAAACTCTAAATTTTCAGACAAAAAAAATAAAATACAATATAGTTTTATAATTTATCATATATGAGGTCAATATAGAATCTGACTCAATTTATTTCGGTGAACAAAAATTGGCAATTTTACATAAATTTTAAAGAAATAACCCATGAGTAAAAAGGCTGGCGTATGTTCATTTCTTACCGGACACAAATTAACCAAGAATTTCTAAGGCAAATTTTGAGGAATCCTACGACAGCTGTTATTGTCGGAAATAGAAAATAAAAACTCTAAATTTTTCAATGTGCAAATTATCCATATATGATATCTGAATTGATATGAGAAAAAGGCGCGCATTACAAGAATTTTAAGGCAAAAAGATGAAAGTTTATCCATATCAAGGAATTTAAAGCACTGATAAAAGATGAAAGTTTATCCATATCAAGGAGTTTAAAGCACTGGGGGGGGGGGGGGGAACCTACCCCCCCCCCCCCCCAATTTTTTTCCAAATATATACTTAGTATAGACTTAGCCCCCCCCCCCACTTTTTTCCCAAATATACACTTAGTATAGACATTGAACATTGTTTCGTAGGTTTAGCCAATGCTGTAATAAAGGTATTATATTTTCCCATTCAAATACCGTCTGTCCGATGCATGGTTAACACTTACAATGTCCGATCCATGGTGAATTCCGAGTTATTTTTAAAAACTCGATTTTTTATAATATTTTCTAAATAAAAAGCATGTAATTGTGTCAAAAATTTATATTTTAATCACATACTAAATGTTAAACTCCATTTTGATAGTTCAAGGACTAGGACTTATTGAAGTACAAGGGTATCCGATGCATGGTGAATTCACCCTATATATAGTCCAGTCATATTACCCGATTTTTCTATGTCTCAAGTCCCTGTGACAACAATGACAGACAACGGACAAATTTCGATCAGAAAAGCTCTGACACTTGAGCCTTTTGCTCGGGTGAGCTAAAAAGTATAAATACCACATAAATAACAACTAGTATGAAAAACGTCAGTCAGCATTTGACTCAAAATCATCCGTGATAGGCCTAAGTAAAAGCAGAGATCACTAGGTTACAGGGATTTTCCACTGCCCCGTGTAGGGCCGATAATGGGCCCCATTCCCAATTGCAAAATCACTCCATTTTTCCCAAAAATGAACAGCCTGTGTTAAATTTTTGAAAAAAATCAGGTAAAACATACATTTTGAGGTTTGAACTCTTGATGAAATGAACATAATTTTTGGAGACTTGGCTAAAACTTTATAATAATAGATCTTTTTTCTGAAGTAAAGTTCTGAAAAATAAAGTAAAAAAGCAGTTTAAGCTATAATAAATGTTTAATTATTGAAATACATCTTGCTATAAAATTTCCCAACAAGTTGTAAAATATTGTAAAATTCCCAATGGTAAGGGCTTGGGCCCCTTTCCCAAAATTGGATGGAAAATCCCTGCTAGTAGGCTGTGGTATTTGTCGACCAAGCTGGGACATCGGCTTGGCTTATCTTTCACTTTGTATCTTTGAGTCAGTAAGGACATTTCCTAGAACTCAACCGATGTTCATTAAAGACACTGGTGTTTTCTTTAATTCCTCGATATCCTGTAATAATCTTTTTAATGATTATTTAATGACTTACACAAAATTTTCTTGATATCCATGGCCATTCGTCTGCGTGGATTTCCTACATGTGTTCTGTATTTCTTGTATAACAAACCCGAGCAATCAAAAAGTATATACTGATAAAAAAAATAATGTATTTGCACTTGGCCTTGACATAAAGGGGTATTTAAACAACTGTAACAAGGATTTGAATAACAGGTTTTGTATTTTTTTTCCTGCGATAGGTGCAATGTTATTTTCTGTATTAACAAACAAAGAAAGACATTTTATTGTACAATTTATGTACAAATAGCGGTAACTATTTAAACTAGGACCGATTTATAAACAATGGTAATAAGATAGAAAATATTCTATAAAAGTAAATATACCTTTTTTATTTTTAATACAGAAATTTCCGGGTACGCTTTTATTTTTTTGGGGGGGAGATAACAAAAATATTAAGAAATGAAAATGATTTTTATTAGATATTTTAGGAATATCTATCGAGGAAATAAAATACATAACTTCTCTGTTCGCCATGTGCACTTTCTAAATTCGCGATGACCAAATGCAATGAATCGATTTCTCCAAATAGCAAGAGGTCCGAGGGATTAATAGATACCTGAGTAGTGTACAGAAAAGTCCAGATTTTTAGAGAAATAAAGGATTTCCACTAAACAATTAATAGATTCCAATCTTAACTTCTAAATCTCGTGGCACAGGAGCTATAAATTTTATAATTTGGGAAGAAGCACTCCTGCTCGTCATAATTATGCACAAGTCTTTAGTTTGTCTGCGAAAAAAGAGAAGATTTTCAAAGTACAGCGTGTATTTATGCGTTTTTCTCATATATTATCCAGTACAGCCCCGTCTTATAATCAGAAACGCTTAATCTCTATACCACGAAAGTCCTAATTTCGAAGCGGACCTAATAACATGCTCATAATAACCATGCAGC